AGTTTCCCTCCTGCCTCGCTGGAAAAGGAAGTCAGATCCCTCCCTTCCAACAGCACTGGAGTAAACAGTCCCTAAGGCTGTCCCACATCATATGGCACGAATGAGAATATTTTGCTAATCAGGACTATAAGGTTCTTAGCTCTCCTCATCCCATACCTAGAGATCTTGTTTAAGAAAAACCCAAAAAAAACAACCCAAAACACACACACCAAAAAATCCCAGAAACTTATCAAAAACATGAAAACATTTTCACTGAAATAAAGAGACACCATTGCTTAAAGCTGGGTACCAGCCTGGAATATCAACTTCTTTAGAGAAAAGAAAAAAAAAAAGAGGAAGAGATTCTTTGAAATTTGACTTTTAATTCTAAGGAGAACAGAGTATGACAGAGGAATGAGGTACTGCAATTTGCTGGCTGTTCCTCGACTGCCATGGGGAAATTGGCAGTGTCCCACTGGGAAGCAGTGTGTGGGATCTATAACCACAACACAGCATGAGCCAAAATACCAGCGGTGCACTATGGCCAGTTACCTGCTCAAGTGACACATTCCAGGTGACTGCTGATTCCTTGCTTCTTTCTGAGTGTCACTGGAGTGAGTCAGGCCTCTCCCTTGGCCCCAGGTGTGTTTGGCTGGCACACCTTGAGCAATGTCTCACATCTGCTCCAAGGAGGCAGCCAGTGGGACTCTGACAAGGTCCCAGCCTAATATGATGGGGTTGCAATTTGTGTTACTGGAAAGTAAATGAGGGGGTGATGAGCCCTAGGCACTGCAGTGAAGTGAGAAGTTAAATCTGCCATAATGCAGTATGTAATTGCCTCTGGAATATTTGAGCAGATTATACAGAGGCATAAAGGACTTCTTAAAATTAAGGAAGGATGCCTTTTTTTTTTTTTTTTAAACAGTATCTTTAGAGCCTCACACTGAGGAGCTGGTTAGCTCTAATGTGACAGATTGAGATCACTGGGAGTCAAACATTCCATGCACTGTACAAAACCTGACAGCAGGCATAATGCCAGCTTTAACAGGGACACTTCTCAGACACTGGTGGATGGGTAGTTGTTTTCTTCCTTTTGGGGATTTAGAGATACCACAGATGTGCCATTTACCTCAGTACCAGGTCATAGGGATATTTTCTCTCCTGCTGATCCAGAACCAGTAGCTCTTTTTTCTAAATACAATTCTTAACATCAAGGTATCAGGCACTGAAACAATAAAACAAAAGTATTTCTTCCCATTTGTTAACTTCTGAAGGATCCTACATTCAATCACAGGAATGAAATGCCTCCTCTCACATTCTGCTGGACAGGGTCATCTGTCACAGGGCTCAAAGCACTCACAGGAGCCAGGCCTACACCAGAGCTCTGACTGTCAGCAGCTGGATGGTTGGATGTGCATCCCACAGGATGTATGGCACTGCCCAACAGCCATCAGAAGGGTCACAAGTGGAGAGGAGAACTGCAGTTCTCACAATAAGCAGATACAATTATTATCATGGTCTATATTCAACAGCAGATTTATGCACAAATCCAAATTTTTTTTTCTTTCTCAAAGACCTCAAAGAACTACAAAGAATGTAGGAGAAATTAGCTTGGTTTAAATAAATGTTACCCACATCTAAAAAGAGCAACATTTCTTTAAGAATCAAACCTTTATACCACATTTCTCTGTAGTATATTCTTCCCCAAAATCCTGATCATGCAAAAAGAGAGGGAGTGTGAGACATTTTTCCCATGAATGCATTCCAGTCAAAGTGATCACGTGCATGTTGTATGCAATACACATCTGCAGAGGGGACAGATGCCTGCACTGAGGGGTTCTGTGGTTTGTTTCACGGAAGTAAAGTGTACAAGTTTCAGTTTCCTCTGGCAGCGTGCAGGATTGTGAATCCTGCAGGATGGCAGGTCACACACACAGATTACATACCATGCATACTTGTGCTCTCTATGCCTTTCTTCCCTTTCCATCTATTCTTCCCACAGAAATTCAGTTTCGACAGTTTTGATGGAAGTGCCTAATGAATCCCAGATTTTGTAGAATGGGCTTTTCCATCAGTGACCTTTACAAGAGGGACATTGTCAGGAGTAAAATTGCTTTTCTACAATACTTGCCATCCAAAATGCTCACACCATCTCATGAACCAAACAGCATTTGCAATCTCATAGTGAAATCAGTACAACATTAAGTCAGCCACATTTACCCCTCCTACACTACTCTTGTAAGAAATAGGTAAGCCCTTGACCAAACGTAAATGCAATGCCAAAGTTCTTAATGTAATTATTAATTTAATAAAATATATAAATAATCAAGCTGTTCAGCTATTTAAAAGCACTTGTGCTTGAAAGAAATTACAGCACAGATGGCACAAAACAAAGAACTCACTCCTGCTCCAATTAAAAGCTAAACTCTGACTCACATAATTGCAAACAGAATCACTCCCAGGTATATTGACAGAAGAAGATCACTTTCAGCTCATATAGATTTTTGAAAGGCTTGGTAGAGCTAAGTCACGTATCTGACCTAAGCAGCTGAACAGGAAATGCTGACTGTCTTCTTGACATGAAAACACTCTCTTGCATCTTCGGAAATGCACACAGAATTCAAGTCAGGCAATTTCTAGAAATCAAAAAATCTTTTAGTACTTTCACATCTGAGTGAGGCAGAACTTGCTAATGTGAAAACACAGATAAATCTTTATAATGCATTTGATCCACTTGGTTTTAGTGGACATTTGCGTGTATTTGCTGGGATTAACAAAACAAACTTCTTCCTATTTAAATATACGTCTCAATCTCTTGTTCCCATGCAGAAAAGGAAACACAGCTGGAGAAGCTAGAATCTTACCATGAGGATTAGAGAAAAAAGTGCCAGGCAGTTTGAAGCAATCGTAATTCTTTGCTCATAAAATGCAGAACTAAAGCATGTAGTATTATCTATAACATCATGTCACACTTGCCAGGGTTAGTTATAGGCAAAGGCAGTTCCCAAAGCAGCAGATTGCTGAAGGGGGAAGAGGGAAAGGAGGGGGTAAGAAATGGCTCTCACTGCCTACTTTGCCAATAACAAAGCCCTGAGAATCAAGTTAGCCCCGGCTGCTGCAGGAATTACAGAATATATGGGACTATGGTGGAACTGTGACTCCCAGCTACAGCAAGAGCTCACTTTCACCTTGTCCCAGCAGCAGCTGGGCTCTTCCCTCCAGCTCTCCCTCCCTCCCACTCCTATTGCTTCCCCACCTGAGAAAAATTTAAATTCTACTTTCAGGACTGAGAAGCCAGATGTAATGTTTGCCATAACGAAATACAAATTACAGTTTGAAGGGCATTTGCTACAGTACAGCCCTGAACAAAAAAGGTAAACTTTTCAGTCCATGCATTGCCTTTTTCAGTCTAGAAAAAATAAGACTTTTGCAAGGGCAAAATGGAAAACTGTGCCATGTGTCCATGATCTAAAATCATGTTGAACAACATCAAAATATACGTTCACATGAAGAGGATTTTTAATAAACCTTTTTCCTCCAATTGTTAAAAATACTGAGAAGCTAATTATTGAGAAATATTGGGGCATGAGAAGCTCATATTAGACACTTAAATCATATGCTGATAAAACACAGGAAAATATTTATGGTTTATGAGAAATGCCTTATTCTAGGTCTTGTGGAAAATACTGGATTGACAGTCCTAGTAGTGCATAGGCCCAGTGAACAGTTTCCCCTTAGTATTCCCAGGTGCACACTTCAACCCCACCTGGACTGAAAGGACTGTCTCTTGATGAACATAAGCAGGTTTCCATGGTGTATTTTGTCACATTAAATACTCACAGTATTGCCAATGCCCCCAGTGTCAACAGTTCTGTATTGAATACAAACAGCCATGGGGAAACAACATTTTGTAGAGGTGCTTAAATTCTAAGAGCCTGTTACCACTTCTTGTCTGAGAGGATTTAAACCAGCAGCTCCAAGATGAAGCTATTTTATTGCAATAGCAGTAACTTTTAGTGTAGTTTCTACTACACCACACAGAAGGATAGCCCCTCTCCAGGGAACGTACACTTGAAGTAAAAGAAAACCCAACAAAAGGACACAAGAGTGTGACCAAATTAGCCCATGTAAAAAACATTGGGTATCAGACATCAGCCTCCAAATAACAGTCCCCTGCTACCTCTCCTCCCTATAATTCAAGTTCCTAGCTAACACACAATCCTATATTTCAATGATTTTCTCATGAGACAGATAAGCCATTTCTAGTTTTTAAACTCAAAGTATTTGCAGGGATACTCTGTTACTCGTTAAGGGTAAAGCTATGGAAAGGAGATAGTTCTCATAATGATAGCAGATGAGGATCTTGCTTGTAAGAATTTAACCACTCTGCACTCAGAATTCTCAGAGCCTCTTGATTCTACTGTTCAAGCTGAGCTGACACTCTTTTATCTCTAGCATCTTTGTTGTAAGCTCCAGGACACTGAAAATCAAAGCAAAGAAAAATATTAAGTCTTTTGACATGCCTTGCTTAAAGACTTAGTAGAATACTTAAGCATTTAGTTTGCCTAACTGGAATCTAAACTTCAAGCCCACCAGTGCTCCTCTTAAATATTAGCCTGTCAAAATGTTAAAATCCCATGAAAATTAATGGCAATACTCTACTAAACAGAATTGTTTGTGGAATAAAATCTTATAAATAGCCTGGAACAGGCAAAACAGAGTAAATCCAAGAACATGTTCCAAATAACAATGCAGTAATTGATTGGTGTTACATGGAGTTTTAAATACACCTTTGTTATGTTTGGCTTTACAATAAAGATAAGATAAAGTGTTTTCCCCTTGATTAGATTCAGAGATAGTAATGTACCAAAGTACAAGACACCTTTGTAATACAGAAAAATTATTCAAGAATTGTTATCTTTGTATTCAAAGCAGGAAGAGGATCCCACAGTCCTTCTTCCCTGTTACAGGTGATCTGTGCTTCTGTTATAAAGTCACCTCTAATTGAAAATGTAACTTACCTCAAGCTGAACCCTTGAGGGTTCAGAAAGGCAGGTGCAGTGTAAACACAGCACACAGCCAGATGCCAAAGCCACTCAAACAAGGAGCACCTGGAAAGCAGAAGGTTTTATTTCTTAGTGTCACGCTACAGCTCAGGCCTAGAAGTCTTCTTTACACCACCACAGAGAGGTGCAGCAAACTGCAACAGTTGAATCCTAGTTACATTCAGCTCTCTGGAGATGTCACTTCCAGTTTAACATACACAGCTCCAAAGAGAAGCATTTCATAGGGAGCCAGGAACAATGGACAAGAAGCTCAACAACTCAGGTGATCTTTACCCGGAAAACTCCTCCCTTTGGCAGACCTCCAGAAGGAACAGGTCATATGTGAGAGGGAGCTGGGCTAAGAGCACTTCCCAGGTGCTTCTGGGAAGGCCTGCTCTAATTCCAGCAAGGGCATCATAGCAATTTAGTTCCCCTTACTCCTTTTTCAGCACTTCAGCTTCCCTCTCTCTCCTCCAACAGCTTATGTCTTGCTAGTGTCACTGGAAACAACAACATTTGCTGTCTGATAGGGATAAGTTCTCAACATTGTATTGACTATGTGCAAACTCTCTCACTATAACACATCCATTGACATTGCCCAGTATAAACTGAAATTGAAGAAGTAAAAGATTAAACCACTGAAGTATAGGTACTAATAGGCTTTAATTCCAAATAGGATGGGAATGGCAGGAAAAACTATTCAATGGCCCGACAGCCTAAATAAAGATGATATTCCACCCCAGTACTACCTCCTTTCCCACTTGCAGCTCTGCCAACAACATTCTGCTGCACATAAAGGCTCTGACCTGAAGGTCCAGAGATGGAGACCCCTGTCTTAAATTTAGGCAAAATATACGGGAAAGAAGGAGAGGGAAAAGCTCACTGTTTCAGACTACCTTTTACAAAAGCTAGTGCTTAGCACAGTGTAATGCTACTAGACAGCTGCCAATGCCATCTGACAGTCTTCCTCCATTACCTCTTGCTGTGGATAAATCCAGCATCCTCCTGGCTGTTTGTCTTGGTCAGGCATGTGATTTGAGGCACGACTGTAGAAGCTGATTAGCAAAGTCACTGTAACCTACCCTCAGAATAGAGGCCTGACCCTGGTGTGTGCTGTGAGACCTCACACCCCGCTGGTGTGTGCCCCTCCCCTGGGCAGGAGCAGGGAGGACTCCACTCACCGCCGGGAGCCGGGGTTTGTCCCTCCTGGGGAGATCCTGCAGTGCTCTGTGTGCCGGGGCTGCTGGTCCTGGCTCCATCCAGGGCCAGCCCCAGGCTCTGGAGCTGTGCTGCATCCAGATGCTCCCGCTGTGATCCTGTAACCATGGCGGCGTTCTCAGGGCCCAGGTTTGCTATTTGCTCTGGGGACAATGCCTGAGAGGAACAAAAGACAGAAAAATTGGTTTAGGCTGTCAATTATAGAAGGCAGGTAAGGAATCAGAAGTCAGCACTGCCTTGCATTTGGAATGAGGGACATTAGCCTTCAACATTGTGTAGCTATAAAAGAGCTCAATAGAGCTTAAAAGAATCTTCTGTATTCATTTACTTCCCTGACCACTCATCTAGCTGTCACCTTTCTCTTTGATGCTGGAAGCTGACAGCTTGAGAAGCTTTCTATGCCAGCACTGTACTGTACACTTCTTCAATATATTGCTGGAGTTTAATTTTCCAGCCATTTCTTTTCTGATTTGTTCAAAGACTGATGGTATTGTGCAACCTCTTGTGTTTTCATTTATTTCCTCTTATATCTGCTCCCAAGCAACCTCACTTGAACTTACATTTGACCTTTGATTATAATTAGCAGTAGAGCAATGAGATGAAAAGACCCCATGTTTAATCTTATTATTCAATTTTCTCTTTTAGATTGAAAATCTTCCCAGTTTGTTCATATTAAATTTAAAAATTAAACATGGCAATCATAATCTTACAGTAATTATCTTATATCATGTAGCAATTAAGCAGTTTGCAAAGCCTGTATTATTGAGCAGGCTGGTTTGCTTTAGTTCTAGTTAACATTCTGCAGTCACAAGCATTTTAACCCTCCTACACAACAAGCCTTTTTTCTTGCAACAGTTCTGCATCCAGGTCCTACTTTGGAAAGACAAAATTCCCCTTGCAAGTAGGTCAGATGATGGAGCAAACCCTTGCCCATTTTTCGTTGTCTACCAAATGGTGTGCTGGTTTAAACTCAGCAAACTCATGGAAATGCCTACAGGTTCAGACATGTTGAATTGAACATCTTAACTCACTTGAAGTCCATAATACAATGTAATTTTTCATAAATCAAAATCTGAATAATTTATACAGCTGCAAAATGAGGCCATAAAAAATCTGTGTAAAACCAAAGTCTTCTTTGTATCTTTCAAATACAGAAAACTCTTCCAAAGAGGTACCCTGCTTTTTATTAATCATTTTTTGTAGCATCATTATTACTCTTACTAACAAAAATGTTGTTTGTTAGAAATTCTACAAGACGATATAGAGCTGTTTTGCAAAGAAACAGTTTCTGTAATGACATTTTAGGCTTATCTGAACTGTCAGTGGTACTGTGCACAGTTAGTGCTCAAGGAGTTTCTTTTTTTTATGGGAGCTGACACAGTTAACTCTCTGTTTAACTCAACTGTCCATAAGTACATTGCTTGCCTGAGCATCTGAAAGAGACCAGCCCAGGCAGAGTATTAATCTTGTCACTAAGTCAAAGAAAGTCAGGGGCAATGATCTCTAGATCCCTGTTCTAATTTCTGGTCCACATTCAATACTGCTGTAATTAGATGTAATTCCTTTCTGATCTGTATCTGCCTGCACAATCTGTTTTTCAGAGCTAACTTGGGAGAATGGTGCCAGATTTTAGGTTAATAAAGCAGCTCTCGCACAGTCAGCAGAGAAATCTGTAGCTATTACAGCATCCTTGCAAATGTTAATAAACAGAGACAAAAATTCAGATTTGAATCAAATGTTGGAAGATACAGTGTCCATTCCCTGTTTTGTGATATTTGCTATTTCTTTGGCATGCATTCTGAAGGATGAACAAAGCTTGTCTAGCATACTTCATGGGCATCACAAATACAGATGATACAGCTGAAAGTTAATGCTCCAGATCCTTGATGGTCTCTTACTTAACAGACCATAGAATTTTTTTTGCCAAAACCCAAAACCTATAAATCAATGCTGCAGTTTATTTATACTAGAGTAAAAACAATAGAAATTTAGTAACTTCTTCAGTAATCAAGCTCTTACTTGGAAAATTTCAGGAGGTATATGTCTTACTGCTGATGGCTGGAAATATGGCATCAAGCTTTTATCAAAAGCTTTTAATTCATCCTCATTCAAACCACCTAAAAAACCCACATAATAGAAACAAAACTCGATTAATGTTATTTTTATTAAATTTATTTTTAAGGTAATATAAACTTTAAGCACTTATAAAAGATACATAATAAATGGTTTATTCCAGGGTGTTATATAGAGAGATGCTGGTTCGTTCTGTTTCATTATATTTCAGTATTACAAATCCTCTGACCTTAGCCATTGACATGGAATGTACTCTACCTGAATTACTTTATCTTGGAAAAGAGAATTATAAAAGCCTATAAAATCATAAGCAATGTTATTAGGGAATGCTCATTCACAGTCTCTTCTGATCCATGGTTAGGGAGCATAATCATGCAGTGAGAGTGACTTCACCACCTAGGTGGTTGTGGTGGGGAATCATTGCCACAGGCATTGGGGATGCTAAAAATTATGAGAGCTCAATGTGCAGTTAAATGATAACAGGGAAACAAATCCAGGAACAAAACTGGGAGTGACCTCTGGCTCAGGAGGTCTCTGAGGCTGCAAGAGCACTCTGGAGAAGTATCACTCCAGGCCAGTCCTGCCCTTGTGCTCTTTCCCTGGGCACCCACTCTTTCCAGGCAGGATACCTGGGTAGCCAGAGCACAGCTCCTCCCAGGACAGCCTGGTTCACAAAGAGTGACTGGGTCTGGAATCCTGATTGGTTTTGCCTTCCTTGATTTACCCTTTCCAACTTACAGGACCCAAGTAACTTCAGGCTGTGCTTCCCAAGGTCAGTTTGACCAGATTTACAGAACCTTACAGAGAATACCACGACTTTTCCTTAGTGCTTCTGAAATTGCTGGATGCCTGTCTCTGTAGGTTACTCCCCTCTGGAAGAAATGTTTTTTGTCAGTTTAGAAAATTCCCCAGCTAGGTGAACCCATCTCTTAATAGCAATGCTTCACAACCATTACCATCTGCAGCTGTAGCTTTGTTACCTGCTATAGTACCAATTTCCTGTAAAACAGAGCCATTCCAGCTGGTAGCAGCACCAAACACAGATTCTGTCATCCTCTTAAACTGCCTCAGAACAGGGGTGCTACAAAACAACAGGCCAATTCTTGCAATTGCAGCACTGCAAAAAGCAACAAGGTCATCATTACAAGCTGCATTTACATGCAGTACTAAATAGGCCTGGAATATACCTAAGCCTGCTGTAGGAAGACTGCAAAACCCATTTGCAATTTAAAATATATGTGCACAAATTGCATACAAATATTTCAGGTTTTAAGCAAAAACCTGTACTTCTTGATGCAATATCTAAATGGTGGGATATAAATGGAAGAGGAAAACTATAAAAGAACACGTTTTAAACAACTGCTGCATGCCTTCTGCTTTTGTAAAAGCATTTAAAATGTAAAAGGTATCCTTTAGGCTCTGAAAATCTTGAAGGAACAAAAACAGCACAATAAATTTTATCAATAGAGTTACTAATAAATATTTCATTAGATATCAAATGCAGTACCTGAATTCAGCAGTCCTTATGGATGTGATTTCTGTGGAGTTCAAAGCACAGAGAACAGCTCCTAATCCAACTAAATCAAAACTTTTTAATGTGCTGATGGTCTGGCCAGAGTCATCTAGAAAACCTTGCAAAATAGCTCTTGCCTACAAAAGCAGTAAGATAGTATGCATGAACAGGGCAAATATAATTGAAAGGTTTGTTACTAGATGATTAAAATCTTACCAGAAGCTATGGAGCATAAATATACATCCTGAGCCTCCCCAATGTATGGCCATGGCCTTCAGGAGGAGCACTGTCACCACCTACATGTGACACTGAACCAGGGCACTGTTACCCCACCACTTGCTAAATGCAAATGGTGTGAAAACACTCTGTACTTCTTCTGCCAGGCCACAAGGAAAGCCTTCACCAGAAGAAATGGTGCTGGGTTGCCTCACAGAATCAGTTAAATGGCTACAGGAAAACATAAAATACCTAAGGGGATCAATATGTAATTTTATTATTTTTAATACTCAGGATGACTTGCCTTATTTAAGTGCCATATATGAGTGGTGACCTGTGTCAAGGATTAATTTTCAGATATGAATGGGATATTGGTACCAAAGTGCCTCTGCAAGCTAATTTAGGGTGGTGCTCATTTTAAACTAACCCTTTAAAAACTGAGTCCATCTCAAGCATGTCATCAAGGCATCCTCCAAAGCCAGTGAAAGCAACAATCATCTTCCAAGATTTCCTAATCTATCCACAATGATGAGCTTCAAATAACTAGCTTAACTAGCTACCTAAGTTTTAGATAACTGAAGTTCAGCAGGATGAATCTCTTTTAACTAACTACTCTTACTGACAGCAGGAAACCTCAAAAGCAAACTGGTTCTGTATAAAATCCTCCCAAGTGCTTCTTTCTTATGGTGCCCTTCACAACGTGAATCTATTAAACAGATTTGTGATATTCTTCCAGAACTGCCACCATGCCAGCATCTGTGCAGCCACAGAGCCCTGATGGGCCACAAAGTCAGAAATATGCTGCCAATTGCATATATAAATAAAAGCTTTTAACTCTTTTTATCAAAGTCCCACTGACATAACTAGAAGTTATTCAAGGAAAGGAACATGAGAGGAGTGTTATCTCTAATAAAGAGCTTCTAGGGCAATGGATGCTGGGGTTGGGGCACACTACCTATTCTGTGATTGTCCTTAGGAAGGACTAGTACTCCTAGCAGTAATGTCCATTCCAGGGACAGTGTGAGAGGAGCTGCTGACCTCCTTCCGCTGCTTAGTGGACAAGTGCTAAAGAACACACTCATCCCCACCCCAATTAACAGTGATTGATGCTGTCTTGGCCACCTCCAGGGAAGCCCAGCCAGGCAGACACCAGTGCTGACCTATCTGCCACTTTCACTGGGGTCACAGCTGCAGAAAAGCAGCAGGGAGCAGTGTGGGTCTCTGGATCTGTTGTCTAGGCAGTTCCAGGACTTGAGTCCCAAAGGGCATGAATCCAGAGCCTTTCACCAGGAGTACCTTCAGTAACTCACTCACCTGGGTAAGAGTCCACCCTGTTTGGTGACTGAGAACAGAAACGGTGTCGATGGAGCGCAGGTCCAGCTCTGTGATTTCCTGTGCAGTGAGTGCCAGAGCAATGCGGCCCAGGGAGATGATTTGGTAACTCCTCCAGTCTGGCAGCAACCCCCAAACCTTTAGATGAGAGTCATTAATATCTGTTAGACTATTATGACTCTTCCTCTATATACACCGTTCTCAAATCCCTTGGTTCTAAAGTCCTAAAATCTGAATATTTCTCTTTGCACACAAAAACCAGAGCTTAGGTATCATGAAGGTTTTTGAAGTTCTACACCAATAACGATTAGTTCATCTAAAAATGCTGCAATTTTTACAGCTTGGACTTGTTGATGAGTCAGAATATGAACTGGAATGTTGGCTGTAGTGAAGTGTGGCTGTAGGAGCAAAACCACTAAGAACAATAAAAATGGGAATCTGTGCCTGGATCCACACTGTTATACTGTCAAGAAAGCAGCACCTGCACTACCCAGGCTTCTTCCCAACTGCAATCACTCCAGGGGACTGACTTTAAGTTCCTTTTGTGACCAGTCACCCTGGCTCAGCCACTGACAAGGAAAGACAAAGTAGAGAATCAAGTAATATAGACAAAGAACCAGCTCCTAAAGTTCTGATTTCTAGATTGTCTTCATACAATGTTAAAATAAAAAATAATTTAAAAGTGATTGTACAGATACAGTTAAATTTGTAAAGCTTTGTAAAAAACCCAAAGAAATAAGAAGGGGCTCTTCTAAACCAGTACCAATGTATTTAAACTGACAACTTCCCCTGCTTTTAACTTTATTTGTGATAAAGTTACAGCAATTGAAAAGCTGTCACTGAGCAGCCCGAAGGAAATTTTGGTATAAGGAAAAGTTCTGCCAGAGTAAAGAATAATAAAAGTCCATCAAGAGCTGAATTTTCAGAGGCCAGAACTGTCAATTACATTTTCTTGACAACAGTAGAAGACTGTAGACAGTAGTCAGTATCTCCCTGGATGTGGCCAATTGCCTTTACAGAAAAAGACACTGGGTTTTGGTTGGAGGAAGTGACTTGAACAAGCCAGGAACACATTAAAAAAAATACTTTTAAGCTCTCATGTACTTCAGCAACTCTGCTTCATATCAGCAAATACATGACAGGTTTCTAGTATAACTTCATGCTGCTAACTCCACCTAGAAAATTAAAACTAATAGCCCAGGGCTGGGCTCCTATCTGAGTCAGAAAAATATTTCCTCCATTTCTGAGATAGCTACAATTTAAGTTTTGTTCAAAAAGTTAGAAAGGACAGAGCTAGTGGGGACTTGCTGAAGAGCATCTCTGCAGTTGCCTACTAAATAGTGTTTGTACTATCAGATAGACATGGAGCTGTACAATCTCCAGAAAATATAAAAGTAGAGCTCAGGAATCCAGATCTCTGAAATGAAGCACTCCTTACACAGAGCTGCAGGCTCTCTGCTGTGCACATCCAGCACAGAGCAGCCTCAGCTGCCAGGGTGCTTTTCCCAGCTATGACCCTCAGGTTAAGGATTTGTTTAAGAGATGCATTGCTGGACTTGTACCTCCCAACTGAGCTTCCACCAGATCTTTTATGTTGGTTTTACAATGTCATAAAGGGTCTAAGTCTGGGAAACTTCAATCTTTTCCAAAGCAAATAGATAGTAAAAAGTATTAGCCCAATTTTAAAGCTTTTAATTCTCTAGCTTAAGAGATACATAAAACACATGCAGGCAAAAATGCCAAGTGTCTGTTTCCTGATCTAGGCCATAAAGTACAGAATTTGAAGTACTTCATAAATAGTATTATCTGACAGGGCTGGGTGAAATCTCAGGCAGAATGATATAAATAACACAACACATGAAACTAAAACACTCCTTTGTCCTCATTCACCTAGAACTACAGATCCATACAGCTGTCACTGCTGCAGAGTTGGGAGACCTTCCACTTACAAGTGAGCTAAGCTTCTTACTTTCATTAAGATACAATCTGATAACTAGACTTTTTGAATTAGTTTGGAACAATGACTAGCTCAGGCTTAATGAAACCGTTAATCAAAGATGTTAATAACATAACAGCATCTATGCATATAATTTCAAAGAGCTTTGCCTGTCCTGTCTCATTTCTCATGCTTCATGCTCAGTGTAACACCACACAGCATTTTGAAATTAATATATAGGAAGTCTGTCTTTGTCTAGCAGAAATCTGTACAAACACTCACAGACAGAATATATTGCCATTCAGTGCACTACAGATCTGTGAGTCTTTAAATATAGCCAGAAATGTGAGTGTATCAACCTTGTCAGCAATTTCCCTACAACTGATACCACTCTGTATGTACCCCAATATATTGCACTACTGTAAAGAATAGTAGTTTTCACTATGTCAGGAGAGCACTGGTTTTATTTTCTTCTAAGATTACATTTTTCCCCCTTTTCCTGTGTCCATGCTGACAGAGGGAAGCTGACTTGGGAAGAATACATCTTCTGCAGTTGTTCTCCTGCAACAAGGCAGCAGAGACACAACTGCAGAGCCACCATCTTCTTTCAGAAATCTGTGCAGTCCCACTTCTCTTCAAGCACCTGCAGTCCCACTGCTCTAAAAGCTGAGCTTCACTGCTAAAAATTGCACAGTTGGCCTTATTTACCCCAAATCCATGGTCAGCTCCACTACTGGCTGCAGCTGCTGGTTAAGGAGATGCTGCCCAGGCCCATGTGGCCCCCTGCTCCTGCTTTCCTCCACAGGTCACAGCCCTCAGATCTCCAAGCCTCTTGCACTCTGTACTGCTTGCTGCCAACTGCAACTTGTAGATGCTTCCCAACCTCATTCTGTCAGAACGATCTGATGGAACCTAAAAAGGACTTTTACATGTTGGATCATTTTGACAGAAGGGGATTACAGCGTAGCCATGCAGAGATGGAAGCAGAGAACAGATAACCTCCAGCAGATGCTGCTGACAGGAAGCTGAAGCCAGGCTGGGGCAGTACCCTCTTCACCTCTGAGTTTTCTGCAACCAGAACAATTTGTCTAACTGCACCTTAAAGCTTTTTCTTGCTGCACTCAAAGTATGCTTGGGAATTTGCCCATTCCCTGCCAGCGCAGGCCACCACAAAGCAGCAAGAGGAGGTCACCCCAGGGAGAAGTGCAATGGCAACAACAGACATGGAGCAAAGTCTGACTTCTCTGGCAGCCCACTCTGTCTCAGGCAGGGCTGCTCAGAGCTCTGTTGGTGCCCCAGACCCAGAGTGCTGACCTACCCCCAGCACAGTCCTCTGTCCAACTGTGCTCCTGGTAAAGACAAAATGTAGGTGGGATTTTTCCTCCCTAAGATTTCCCACTGATGGGTCTGTCCCTGCCTGTGAGGAGGTGGGAAAAGGAGCCTTTCAGTCAGTTTGGGTTTACCCCATTGGAAGCTATATTTAGCATCCATGTAGACAGTTTAGCATGCCAAGCTTAATTCTCAGCAGGGCAATCAACAGACCCTAGTACTGCTTGCTGATTTTTCATTTATGAAAGGAAAGTGAGAAGCAAGCAGAAAGGTAATTCAAAAGTAAAACCACTTCACTTTTCCAGCTGCCAATAGCTCAGAACTACTTGCCTGCTGACTCCAAAGCAAGGGCAATAGTCTTCTGTCATCACCTCACATTATTTTTCCAATAAACCATAGATATTCTTGTGGCAGTAGTGACATTGACATAGCACAGTTATTTTAGAACTGCATAGTTCAATAACACCAAATCAAATTACAGAATTAATTTTCCTTCACAGACAGGATAGTTACCTGCTTGGCTTTTTCCTTCAAGGCAGTCAGCTGGGAGCTGTTAAAACCTGAGACACCCCCAAGAAGTTCCACATTTTTGTCAAAAGTCCCGGGATCCATGCATTTCAGTTCCTGAACTGACCAAAAGACATTTGCTTCTCCTAATTTAATGATTTCATTCGAAGAAGGAGCTCTGGTTCTCAGGCAATCTGAAAAAGGTCAAATAGCAAGAGTTTTCATCAAAGAGACAACAAAATAAATCAAAACAATATTGATATTTAAGAGAGCAACATACTATGAAAATATAGTGCTGCTGATGTGATATTGTTAAATTAATTATTTTGTAATTGAAGAATTAAAAATATTCATATTATTAATGTTCTGGATATAAAACTATCAGTATCTTGCAAACTTCTTTCAAGTCTAATTCTCTAAAGGCATCAAAACCTAGGCAAGGGCTCATTCTAAGTTTAAGCCACCATTTTCTGGGAGCCTTGATTCAATAGGAGTGAAATGCAAATGTTTGGGGTGACCCTGGTGGAAATTTACCAAAAAGAGCTTCAGCTGAATAAACATCACATTCAAACAGTGGATCCAGCTCAACAAGAATGTAACAGACATGAGAGGTCCTTGCACTCTGAAATGTCTGATAGAGATATATGTCTTCTAAGACTTGCCTGACATTTAAACAAGGTGAAGACAGAAGCTGGATGTGTCAGAGCAGCACAGTGCTTGTTGGTTATGTCAAGCCTGTTGTTAAAATGTCAGGATCTAGAGAGGGTTGTACACTTACCACAGCACTGTTTGGACAGACAAACTGCCTTTAAAATCTTATTTACAGCCAGGTTCCAGGCCTATGCATTATCAAATGAGACAGTTTCCATTGTGTGTTTTAACAAATCCTAGTCTTTGCTGACATAATCTACCTCTAATGTTGATGGAAAGCAGAAATAAGAATCCTAATGTGGTTGTTTACTGCTCCCTCTCCTATCACTAATTTAGGAAAACCTTATTAAATAATTATCTAAACCAAATAATCCCTACATGTCTTTGGATACAGTCATTACTAGTAAAAAGCATGAATTTCACAGATGCTGTGCCTCAGCTAAGCTTCCCCAGATAAATAAATTAAAGCGAGGATGTACAAAGTAGATTTGTACTTTGAAAGGAGGCAGAGGAGGGATTTATTTGCATCAAAGGACGTTGCAGTAGTGGGTAGAACACTGAAAAGATTGAATCTGTTGAGCAAATGAAAATGCTGCTCAGCTTCCACTGTACCAGCTGATCTTCAGCTCTCCCTTTACCTCCCTCTTGTGAAGCTGCATTGTTTCCCTTTCCCCTGCTGCAGGAGGTCAGCTTTTCTCATGTAAATACTGCCCATCCAGACACAGTGCAGCTCCCTTCCCCAAGACATGAAAGCCTAAGACTAGGTGTCCTTGAAAAAAATCCATTGATTTTATAATTTTTAACACACCAGATACACTGATGCAATTAAAGAGGGAAATAATAATTAGATTTTTGACCTGATGTCACTTTGCTGTTCCTTTTGCTATAGATTTCGTTTGATGAAAAACATATATATATATATATATATATACACACACATTATAACATCTCAGTGCCTGTGGTGAGAAACCTGAATTCTTTCTCCAGCACTGCTACTGCCCTCTCGTAGCATCTCACACACACAGCTCCCTAGTTTTGCTTTTCATGCACCATCTTGCCTTAAGCACCTTAAAACCTTTGCTTTTAATCTTGATATAGACATAGATGCAAGAACTCTGTAACTGGTAAATGCTGCTGTTATTAACACTAGCTCACAACTGGTCTGTGACAAATGCAAAATAGCATTGGTGACATGAATAGCTTTAATGTTATTCTGGAGTAATTTTCATAATACCCAATTACAAATCAGTAATTAAACTTCATTCCTTACTGAAACCACTGTGTGAGTTGTATGGAGCTGATGAGATTATGTTTGGTAACAGAAGTTCAATACAATGTTTGGGCTGCAGAAGCATTTCCTGGAGTAGCACAAACAATCCTTCAAGTTCTCATCTCCCAGATTCTCCCCAGCTGGGCTCATGCACCCCAAGTGAAGACTCAGGAGCCTCCACAGTCTTGGAATCAAGTTATCCTCGGACAAAGACCCTCAGCTTTGCTGGCATTGCTCTTGCAATGCAGATGAGAGAGCTCTGCAACTGCACTGGACATGAGCTGGGCTGATTAGAGACGTCTCTGGGATTCATCTAGATCCAGAGGCTTAAGAAAAGAACACTTAAGGACACAGGCATACTGAAATACCTGCTGCTGAACCTGCAGTCCTGTGGCCCATGACTGAAGAAATATGGCTTGTGACTTGTGATCTGCTGATTTACTTGTTGAGGGAAGAGTGAATGTCATGCACACAGGTGAACTAACCCCCTGCTATTTCACCAGCTGAGTCCTGCTTTTTTTAGAGCCTGATGATAGTGTCATGACTCCTCTGATCAACTGAGGTCATGTTTTGTTTCAGGCTATTAAAAAACCACAACTCTCAGAACTCCCTCCACCTCTCTCTGCCTATGAATACAGCACGCTAAGAGGCAAATTCATTTCCAGAGACACACAGTCATCATTCAGAGTTCCTGCCATACAAGCAGATGGATTTCCATGGTGGCTCAGGGCTTGCTGAGAGCTTGAACCTCTACTCTGCTAGGCAGAGAACTAAGGGGAAGATTTCAAAGATAAAGGCAGACAAGATCAAACTCCTTGAATATGTTTGGGTCTAAATTCCCACTGGTGCTTTTCAAAAGCTTCCCCCACAGCAGGATTGTTTTCCATGGCACAGGATGGCACAGCTTACAAATTCTGCCTGGGTGAATTTCAGATAAGACAAAGAATAGTTGTTATTATAACAATAGAATATAGTCAGAGTATCTATCTAATATATATCTTATATAAAGAAGCATCTATCTTATATCTATCTTATATAAAGACAATGATCCACTTGTCACCAGAGATTCTAATAGATTAGTTTGGTTGCTAATTAAAACACCTTTTAGATGATTACAAACTTGTCCATTTGGACAGAAAAAACACAGTGCCACCACTATCAGATTTAAGAACAGATCAGTCACCATATGCTCATGTCTGGCAAAGGATTAACTATGTGCAATCTTTTGGCACAATGGTAACTTGTCACCTTCACAGGTTTTTAATTCAAGGGGTTTCAATTAGATTACAAAGTAAAAATAAAAAAAAATTAAAAATAAACAAACCCCTCTAATTCAAATCATTCATCTTTTTCCTTTGTGCACTCAGAAGGATTCCAGGAAATGCTTAATTATGCAATACTGTAATGAAAGTTTCAGCAATTAGTGCATTATACAACTCTGATGAGCAGCAGAATGAAGACTCTCACTGGTTTTTGCTGGAAGTCTATAAGTTACTGAATACTTCACTTTTATCATTCGGCTCCTCAGAAGGCATTTGATGACAAAGTGAGACAAAGACTGTTTGAATTGCACCATCTCAGCCCCAAATGGCAGCCCTCTGCAGAGGCACCAGTGCAATACTGACCAGCTGTGCTGAGAGATGGGCTGACACTGCCAGTGCTGTTGGAGAGTGACTCGAACACAGCTGACAGAAGCTCTTCAGCTGAAGAAACTGGTCCAATTGTCCTTGCTATTTGTAAAATGATACCTGGGAACTTCAAAAGGAAAGAAAGAATAAATAAGGCTTCTCTCCCTTTTAAAACAAATCAATTTGTGGAGAAAGACTTGTGCAGACGTTAGCAAAGCAGGGTTAGTAACAGTTCAGTCTCGTCCCATTGTGCAGATGTTTCAGAAAAAAAGTAATTGGCTGCTACTGAAAGGTCACCGGCACACATTTGAGGGGGAAAACATTAGGAACAAAGCAAATTCTGAGTGATTCTCCATCCTGTGTGCCCTCCCAGCTTCTGGCAACACCTGAGCACTGGCTGATTGGTGTCTGTGTCCAGCTCCTCCTGGAGCAATGAGTGCCACCATTTTAATTCGGGCTTCATTTCGCTTGTCTTAAATTTGCCAGGTACGTGTATGAATTGGGATAGGGACCCAATTAAATTATGAGAAATAACTTTGACCTGTTTGCCTTCTTTAGGCTTTTCTGACCTCTCTCCTCCACCCTGCTAGACACCTTTTCCTTTGAAGAGTCCTATTCTATCTGGTCAATTATAAGCATTATCTCCAGTGGGAAATCTGCTCACTGTGTTCACATATTTCTGCTGAAGAATGAATCCCTCATTCCAGTACAGTTTACTCCTATGCATAAAAAAATTAAGATTATATTAACTAAAAAGGGCAAGGAAATTACAAAGTGCAATGCTGAGGCCATCAGATATTGTTACTTGTGCTATGCTGGCCCCAGGGCAAAGGGCCACATGAGTAAATGCTCATTTGATCAGTATGATCCCATTAATAACAGGATAAGAAACACAACTTTTATGGCTGGAAGGCAGAAGGATGGAGTAAAGAGCACTACAAAGTATAAAGTACTAAAAATGAGTCTGCATCACTATAAATGCCCCTTTTTTTTCCCTATGTGACAATGAAAGTAATTCTTTATAATAACATTACTCTCAAGAAGAAATCTCTTTGATGGAGTCAAGAATATGTGAAACATTAACATAGGATTCTTTGACAAAAGAATTATTTACCTAGTTCAGCATTCAGGTTACATAATTTAGACTTCATTGTGACATTCACAATTCCAAGTTCTAAAATATATGTTACAAATTAAAATTTTTTAATAAAAGCATACCCTTTCAGCAAGGATGTTTAATTCCTCTTTTGACAGCAGAACTATGAATGGTCCAACATCTAATGTTGTTTCTGCTGTCCAGTTGTTTGAGGAGCTGAAAAAATATTTTGAAAAATTGTATTAATAAAGAACATTACAATAAAAATAATACTAAAACTTCAGTGGGTTTATGATACTTTACCATACAGGAAACACAATTCTATGCCAATGTGATGATTCACTGTTACAAGCATTAGATTGCATTTTCTCACCTTTCTGGGCATAGGGCATTAGTGGAACTTACAATATAATCAGAAAAACCCTTCCAATGTGGTGGTGATGGAGCTCTCCCTCAATAGTCAAATGTTCTTAGCATTACAGTGTTCGAACAAGGAGAAATAATTCTGTCTTTGAAAGAAAATTTACCATTTTCCATCAGTTCATATTGCAATAGTAGTCTGCAAAATGGTTATCAAAAGAGAAGTAGAAACATCATCCACATCTGACAAGTGTCAGTCAACCCATTTGGTAGGTGACTTAATAAAGCTCATAGATAAGTTATTTTCAGCCTGACAGAGCCTATAGAAGAGTGTAGTAACAAATATGTTACTAACTCATGTTCCCACAAACAATTTTAATTGCTTCGTTGCTCCACTATGAGAATGTTTAAGTATCTTCAAAATTAAATATAAAATAACATAAAATCTTATTTAGCACAGTGTGCCACGATTCAATAAAACTGATTTGTATCAAGATCAATGCAGGGATGGGATCTGCTGGAAAATACAGCTATCCTACCACAGAAAAATGTTGACTAGCAGGAAGCTGAACAGCATCTAACATGATCAGGTGGGTCAAGGGACTGACTTTGGGTGAAGGGGTGGTTAGAAACTGCAACCAGTCTCCCTTTTCAAATGCAAGATACTTCCAAGGGACAATGCAAGACAGAACAGTACACTCTTGCTACATAGAGGATGGCTTTGTTCTTTGCATGACTGATACCACTGAGGTTCCATCTGCCCTCCTAATCTGAGTCCTTAGTGACACCCAACACACTGCCCACTCTGCTGCTGCAGATTCTTGAACTTTATATCCCTCTGCTTCTTCTCTGCTGTCTCCTATTGCTACAGGTGCTTGCAGTCTTCTTTACTTGTCTTCTCACACCAGCACAGCAAGTATCCCACTTCCATTTTCCCATTCTTTGCGTTCCTGCACCATTCTCTGCTTGTAACCCCTTTCTCTTGCCAGGCCTGCGAGTCTCTTTGCCTGCCCCCCCTCAAACATTACACTTTCTCTCCTTTTCCTCCGGGACTTAAGCCATGCAGGGTGTCCCTGGGGTTGTATTTTGTTCCACAGTTATCACATTACACACAAGAACAGAAATGTTATTCTAGTGGACAAGAACTTGGGCAGTGACAGAAGCTGCTTTGTGCTGGTTTCACTGCAGTTCATCTGGGCAAAGCAAATGCTTGGTGTTTGCATGGTCTAACCACCAGCATGACCACGGTGGTGTATCCAATACCTTACCCATATAATTCGAAGAGTTTGTATTTAATTTCAATCTTCTGCTCATGGCTGAGCTGTTGGCAAAGTTTGAATTGATGTAGGGCTGCTGCCATTGCCTTCAGGGACATTCTGCCATGTAGAAAGGCTGGAGGTAAGTGGCAGATTAGATTTCCAAGGAGGTCAACATCATATTCATCAGCAATGGAGCTGTTCTGAAAAAAGAAGCATTTGCCCTGTTGGCAGACCTAACTGGGCTCTTGCCCTGTACCACTTAGCTGCATCACAACTCATTTAAGCTGTAAGGAACAAAGACACAACAGTTTGCACCAGCAACTTAATCTACATTTTCTGCTGAGACTGCCTTACATTTTTTGTTTTACCAATCCAACTGGTGATATTTCATAAGCACTTCTCAGAGATTTCAGTATTCTTTATTCCATACTGAATGTGACGACTGAATGAAAGAATGTGACGACCCAGCACCTGCAGAGCTGGTGCAGTTCTGTCTGGCAGCACAGCCCTCACGTGGCCCCTTGCAGCAGAGGGGCCCCAAGCTCTTGCTGTTAGAAGGCTGAGCTCTAAAGGGTTTCTCAAGCAGCTGCCAAAACACTGGGGATTATACAGCTGGTACTGAGTGTAAGGACAGGAACAGCCACAGCTACATCCAAGAACTAGTTTCCCCTAAAAATTGGTGAGTGCTGCAGCTCCCAGACAGCAGAAGTCACAAAATCCTCCTGGTACCACCACCTCTCCCATGGAGCTCCCTGTGCCACAACAGCTCTGCTTAGACTGGCACTGCTTGGAGCCAGGGGAACAGCTCCAGGTGCAAACTGATCAGCTCCAGGCTGTCCTGGCCAGCAAGGACATTTCATGAGAACACTTTGTAGTGTGCATGGAGTCAAGGAAAATTGTTAAGCAAGCTATTAAAAGATTTGCTTAAGGAGCAAATAATAAAATTGAAACAGTAAAAAAGCCCCCAAAGGAATGCAGATGGATGAATGAAGAACTCAGGTAGGTGGTGACCCTCTCCTCCTCCATGGTGTCTCCTCCTCTGCTGACCCCTCTCAGCCATACCCACCAAGCACTCCAGTACTTTTTGCAGGACAGCATCCCTTTTGTGAAGGCTTGGGTTCAGAAGGTTCATTCCAGTCTTCCCCACACGTTCAAGGAAAGGGACACACAAAGGGCCTGTAATGTACTCCAGGTACTCAGAACTGCAGAAAGAATTCAGAAGATCTCAGAATGCAAACCTGACCTTCATACACCCACAACCATAGCCATGAAATCTGTGATGACAGAAATATTTAGAGACAAGGCTGGACTTGAAAAATCATAAGCCAGAGAGGCCAAAAAACTTGCAATTAACCCTCACCTTAGTCCAATATCTGTCTTCTTCCAGTCCATCAGGACATGAACTGAACTTCAAAAAATGGCTAAGAATTATAAATAGCTGCAAGTGTATGAAAGTGCTCTGTGATGCTTTAACACCATATGAAACAACAGTTTACAGGTCAGAAGCTTTTCCCCTTTCTCTGTTTTATTAGCAATAATTCTCTGATGAATGAAAATGGGGTGGGTGGCCTGCAGACCACAAGTAGTTTTAGAGTAGGTTTCCTTTTTATCAAAATCCAAAACTCCTGCCAAATTAAAAAAAAATAATGCTCTTCTCCACACAGAGTGGCAGACAACCTTTGCAAATAAAACCACAACCCACATCTGCACAGGCCCAGCCTTGCCAGGGTCTGTAGGCAACAGCACCAGTAACTTCTGATGGCCCTGAACAGCCAACATGCAATTGCTGCCAAATAACTGAGTGCTGCAGTTTATGGGAAACCTTGCATTAAACTCTATTATTATTTTATAGTTGTTAAATAGAATAGAGTCTTTTCAAATGGAATATTTTTCTTACTTTTTTCAATTAAAAAATATTCCACAAAAAGAAGGGTTCTCAGTCCCTTTAATCCCCTCAGGCACATAGAAAGAAAGAGAGAAAGGGTGGAAGAGAAAGAAAGAAAAAGTGAGAAAGAGACAAAGAAAGAAAGGAAAGAAGGAATTAACAAATTTTACAATTCAGGAGTTCTCATACATACACAAGTTATTTTTTCCTAAGGAAAAAAGCTGTCACTGAGTTTTGCTAACTTACACAAATGTCTTGAAACACATTGGAATGTTTCCAGCCATACAGAGCAATATGCTTCAGCAGTATCCAGTGTTTTTGTCTTATATATCCACTCTCAAAAAGATCCCTAAACAAATAAGCAAACCTAAACCAAATAAGCCTACCTAGGGGGAAGAAATCCACCATTGTGACAAAAATGTACTGTACTAAAAAGACACAAAGTATTACCAACTTTCACTTGAGACAGATTTTGCCTACAGTCAGTGACCACTTTTGATAAATCACCATTTACTGGAACCATCAGTTTTCTTAGGACTGAAGAGATTATTTGAAAAGTGCTCAGAAGTTAAGATGGACTAAGACGTAACTCACGGAAGCGCCAGTAAGAGGAAGGGAGGAATGGATGCATTGGAGACTTTCCAAAATTTCCAAGCCAAACAATTAACCTAAAGGCAACAAAAATGTAGGACCTTAAACCTCTAGCAGTTTTGAAGAATAATAAAAAATATGGCTTGTTTATTGCAGCACAGATATATAAATTAGCATATGTATTTTCTTCAGAGAGGATTTTTATCTGGTTTGTTTGAGTTTTCTTTTTATAGATATCAAAGATGAAATATTATATATTTGGGAACATGAGATCATTTGTATGTTTCTGAAACTTCTATGTATTTCCAAACAGATCACTCATGAATTAACAAGTCAGAAGGGCTGTAGGAATTTCTTGCAATTTGTAAGTGACAAATGAAATTGTCAAAATGAAGTATGATAACAGACAAATTCACACATAAAAGATTTAAATAAAATATGCTAACAGACAAGCTGAGACATAGAGGATTCTGAAAAAAAATCCCAAAAAATAGAATGAGCCAATTTTAATCTGCCTAATTGGGATATTGGGTAGTATGTTTATGTACATAAAGTCTTTTTTGTTTGTTTACCTGATATGGAGAAAGCAGATGAAGATTAATTTCAAAGAATTTAAAATTGTTTAAAAATATGTCTGTGTCCATACTTTCAAAGAGTTGACAAGTTACTCCTTTCACAAGCTGTCCTGTGCTGATAGGAAAGGCGAATTTCAATCTCATGAATATTTAAGCAGGATTTAGTCCTTACTCCCCACAACCCCATCCTAAGACACAGTTTCTTCACCTCTCCCATTTCCTGTAATTAAAAGGCTCTTGAAAACAAAAATGCAAACAAATTGAACAATATCAACTAAGACTTAAAACACCCAAACCTCTGCAATGCTTTGATCCTCACTTTGGTTTTGAAGACCCTTTTTAATAAGGAAAGTGAATTATCCTGTAGTATCCAGGAATGAATAAACATAAGGTAATACATATTGTTTACCTCAAAGTTGCTCTCATCACAAAACTAGTCTTAAACCCCATTTCAAAAGAGATACAGTCCATACCTTAGAAGGTCAACAGGATAGTTTTCCTTGGACAGTAATTCATACAGATACAAAGCCTGAAAATAAACCCACCATAATTAAAGGTAACTTTAGTTAATCCAGTTGTAAGATATATAAACAGCTGTAAGGTTTTTGTACTCTGAGCTCTCTTATGTACTCTAAAGGTAATTCTGTGGTCAGCTTGAGCAACCAAAAGGTTTGGCATCCAGTTTAGCTGAATTTTTTCTTCACAAGACAAGCCATAACTGAGTGGCATTATGGTAAACCTGTACACAGCCCACAGCCACTGAAAAACTTAAGGGTGAAGGGAGCTCTGGAGATCATCTGATCTAACCTTTCATCTCTCTGGACAGAGTCAAAGACTTTATATGCAAATATCTAATGCACAGTACTGGAAAAAGAAAATTTACACGGCAGAAACCTGGGGGCTTAAATTCAGCATATTAATGCTTCCTTTTCCATAGCATTGTCTCATAGTGCTGCCTGGGCTCTAAATGCCCTTTGGTGTTTATGTTGAGATATATTTGGGCAGTTCCTTCCTTTTACCTGTGTTCCTTGAACACAAATATATTACAGCACTTTTCCAATTCTCCCATCACACTAAATTGCAGTGGAATGGGAACTACATAACAATTTTTACCTGGCTGCTTCTTAGTTCTTTTTCTTTCAGCATTGTGGAATCATATCCAGTTTGCTTCCATAAACCAGAAAGAGAGACTTCTTTAAAGAAAGCTCCTTGTATATCTTTGACTGATGAAGAAAAATCTCCAGATGCAGCAATCTAAAAAGAGGAACACAAAAATACACAGTATTTCTGAACTGATGCTTAGATTTACAGGATTTGCCCTTCTTTCTATTCCATGTAATATTTCTCTTAAGAGGATAAAGGAAAAACACAACAGTATTAAAAACACAACAAAATAAGCAAGAGAGAGCCTTCAAAATACACCTGGTGTTCAGAAAAAAACCCAGTAGAACCATTAACCATTGAGCTAAAGGACATATCTTGGTTTAATTCATGCTTTAGAGCTCTGGTTATGGTGCTCTTGTGCAGAGAGAACCTGCCACAGACTGGAGTTAATAATCACCTTCCTGAGGATGCCCTGCTGCTGCGCAGGAGATAAGTCAGACAAGTACTGGGATGTTGTGCCTCGAATCATCTGAGCCAGCTCCCTGGGGCTCATGCTGTGCAGTGACCGGGTGCCAATTCCTGTCACCAAGGCACCCATTTGGCTCACGTTGTAAAATGATAAAACCTGCAGGGAGAACAGCACAAGCAAACAGGAAGTTTTATTGAGACCAGCAGATATATTTAAAAGCAAAAGTCAATAAATAATGCAAAACTATTTATTAAATACTTAATACATTTCTTGCCTGGGAATGCATTTTCTGTGTCTGTCCATGGAACAAATGCCTGAAGTTCCTCAGAAGTTCCTTTTTCTGAAACTTCAACCAGGACCTGGTTCCTTGCATTGCAGTATATTTGTATATACAGCCTGGGATCTCTGATCATACAAATTCTGCTTAGGGCAGTGACACAGACAAAATAATATATACAACTGCCAAATCCAAATATTCATTCTCTCTGTTACTAGAGAATTACTTTGGGATGTACAATCTTGGATGCTTTTATTTGATTTAAAGACATTTTCCAGACCACTAACTAAACCAAATTCTTGTACTAAACTTTTCAAAATCTACAGTTATTGTTGAGAAGAAGCCATTTCACTTTAAAAACAGAAGGTAGGAAAGCTGTTATCAGAGGTACCTTTTCATAAGAGAGATATTTACTGGATAAAATCACAACTTGGCTCTTTGCCCACCCAGAGACTTGGTTTAATGTTGCAACAGCATTATGCACTGCTTCAGGTGACAGAGATTCCAGCTGACTTGAAGTTAGTCCAACCACAGCATCTGACAGAGATCCAAGGGTATCATTCAATGTCTGGTTTTGCATGGCAATGTTCAGGAGTTGAGATTTGAGCTAAATCAAACAAAAAGAGCAGATCAGAAATAAAAATCTGCCAAGATCCAATTTCCATTACCACCCAAAACATTAACTGGAATCTCTGGAATAGGCATTGGCAAATATTCACACACTTCATAAAATTTCAAAAATAGAACCACAGTTGTGAAAGGTATAAGGAACAGGAATATGAAACAGAATGAGAAAAGGATAAGCACCCAAAATGGGTTTCTGTCCTTTGCATTCTCAAGAACTATTTTCCCTAATTTCTTAAGTCCCAATAGTTTTTCACCCATTTCTTTCCTTATTTAAGAAGAACATCTTTCCTCCTCTGTCTACAGGATTATGTTAGGCAAGAAGAGCAAGTGTTGTACACACCTCATGAACCTCGGCCTGGAAACCTCTCAGCTGATTGCATTTAATCATTTGATGAAGTAGAGCCCGGGCCACAGCTGCATCCATCTGTTCCAGGTCATCATAAAAACAAACCAACAGACCCAGCCTACAGAGCAGAAATACATTAGCTCCCTTCTGACATAAAAGATTGGGAAATGGAAACACAACTTGGTACCCTCTCCTTGTGATCACAGTTTGAGCCATTTCTGTTCGTCATGAGTGCCTCAACCTGCAGTCTTTAAAACTTAGCCTGTAACAGGGTATGAGAACATGCACTGGCCTTTGTATTCAGCTGAATCCTACCTGGATTGCTTGTGCTTGAGAATCTACCTGTCCTGGTTCCATTTGTTCATGGCTGGATTGTCCCAGTTAATGACTCCACTTCCCCCAACAGGATAATTTTGAAAATGATGGAGGGATATTACCAAGTCTTTAGAACTGGCTTGCTGAGTTCTTATCTGGTTTGACTGGATGTTTTGAACTCTTAAGTCCTGCTTGGATTCCACATGCAACACAACCTATTTGTGTTTCAGAGCAGCAGCTGGGGCATGACATGGCCTCTTTATCATTTTAGGATTAAACAAAGCCTGCTGTATTTCACCTCAAACACAGGACTGGCCAATGGATGGAGACCTGTCCAGTTCAACACTGGTCAGGAGAAAGCACACTGAGGCTCACTGCCTACTTGTGCCAGCACAGCAGTCTGCAAGGCAGGGTTCTGAACTGAGCTCATTTCCCTTCACAGTTCCCATGCCGTAACATTTCCATTAACCTCTGTAAAGTGCAACCACAGCCATAGTTTTTGGAGAGGAGGAGTCACACCACCATGGGGAAGTGCCTATTATAGGTGTCCTTCTGGCTTAGACCTTGTGTTTATTTACTGCCTCTGCTTATTTACTACCTTGTCCTTGTTACGGCCTTTACCTGCAGCCCTGTAAAGAAAGAGCCCTGAACTGTGCATCACCATGTCTGGATTTTGAACTTGATAGTGATGGGGATGAACCGGTTTGTAGGAACCCTGAGTCAATTCCCTGTCCCTGTAAACTCAGCCTTTGCTTTTATAATTTAAACAGAACAAGAACCTCAAGATATGGACAAAGCCCAGCTTTCCTGCTACAGTCCCTGTTTTTTCACAGTTCAGTGAGACAGGCACAGGCAGAGTCTGGGCAGTAATGTCCAGATGTGAATCAAATCATCAGTGGACAATGCTGCAGCACTACCACAGACTCAGTCAAATTCTGCAGCACAGAAGGGCTTTTAGTTCCTCAACAGTCCCTCAACAACAACCTGCCAGTGATATAACAAAACACTGCTTCAGCAGCACATCTGAATTCATGGGAGATCATCAAACCAACATACAAATCAAAGAAACATCTATAAGAGCATTTTTATAACAAATAATTACATTCTGATGCATTATTGCTTAGCCACCAAAAGCTCTTCATCTCCTCTGGGATTAGCAGAAATGAATAACACTACTTCTTAAAAGTAAAAGTGCATTTAAATCAACAGTATGGTTAAAATGAGTAACATAAACTAAGTGTGTCGTAAAAATGGAATATATTAAGGATTATGGAGCATGACATTTCTCTCATCCATGAGAATGTGGCAGCTCTTGTGAGTGACAAAATAATTTTTAAGATTTCTGACATTGAAATTTAGAGCGTGGGCATAACTCTTCTCTCACTTACTCCTCCAACAAGAGCAATGCTTCATGGAAGTCAGCGAGTGCACTGCAGTAATGACAGGAGCTCTGAAGCCATAAAGCATATTCTCCATTAGTTTAAAACTCCAAGGTATCCCCCAAGGAGACTACAAATAATTTCAGACAGCATTGTCTTGGGACTGAATACATCCATTGATATGACAATGTAAATGTAAATGTGGAGTGCAGAGCTCTCTCATGCTCGCTGCGTACTTATGAGTAACAGCAGTTTATTTTGGTTTTTTATTAGTGTTAAAGTTAGTTCAGTGCAGATTTGACAGCCCTGAAAATTCAGTTTCCTGCTTACACACCTAACATCCAAACATATTTAAGCATGGCTCATCTCTACTCTGCAGGACAAAGAGGACAGCAGGGCAGGCTTTACACTGCTTCACTTTGTGGCTTCTCTGGTAACACCCACGTCAGTTTAAACCCACTTGCAGTCCTGCTGGCAGGAGTTGAGATTTCCTCCTTCAATCCCAACTGTAAAATGATTTCCCCCAAACACCTCCATGTTCCGTGATTCAAGCAGCCAAGACAACTCATGTCCTGCTGTCCCAGTTTATTTTATTGCTCTGTGACGTGGTGGAGCTCTGCTAGGTCCCCCAGATACTCCTGCAGCCTTCCCACAAATGCTACAGGCATCTCCTCACTGTGGAGCAGGAGACAAAGCATTAGCTAATTAGGCACACCTCCAAAAATTCATAAAGTAGCAATTCTTCACTGTTGCTAAACAGGGCTGGATTTCAGCCTAGGTTTTTCGGCTGGAATGAAAAAGCTGTGCCACGCTATCAATTTCCATTTTCTCCTTAGTTAGTTGTTCCATCCACACACAGCCATAAAAGAAAAAGCAAAGCAGCCTTGCCTGTAGATAGTTGAAGTATTCCTCATATCAAATCCTGACAAGTTTATCCTTTCCAGGAGGGCCTGTGCAAGCTCTGGTGTGATATCATACACCATGTCCAGCTGCTTTGTTGCGTTGTCATAGCTAATGAACAGTCTGATCTGACCAGCACAAACAAAACCATGCATCAGCACTGTGAGACAATGAATCCTACAAAGTCTGTGTCTGACACTCAAAATTAACTGAGCCCCTTCATGTAATAGAGAAAGCAAGAAGATTTGGATAAACCAGTATTTCTGAAAGCAAAGTTGAGTGAGTGATTTGAGTAATTCTCTGCCAAAATGTCAAATAATTTGAGGGTCTTCTATCATTGGTCCTTTTCAATAGTAGTCATGGAAGTCTGATACAGATAAATAATTACATATTAATGACAGGCACTTTAAATTAAAAAGATAGAAGAATTTTGTAAAGAATACATTTATATTTCCCCTCTGTAGTTTCTCTTTATAATTAATTAATTAAGATATATTAAGTTATTTTTCATGTTTAAGTTTGCATTTGTGTTCATATTGTTTGTAGCAATAATATATCCAACCACACTTTGTTACTTACTTCATTAAGATTAATTTTCAGAATTTCTTCTATTGGGAGATGGACCATGTATCTTCCCAAAATCCATAAGCTTTCTGCACTGACCCAAGAAGTTGATTCATTGAACTCTGTTTTGTACAAATAAATACTCACTACAATGTTAAGAAAGTAATTACTTTTCAAATATATTTTATCCAGTATATTGTTATTGTTAAATAATAAAAAATCTGCAAATCAGAAAAATCATTAGCAGAGAGAGTCAGATTTCCTCCATTTGCTACATTTTAGCACCATACATTTATGAGTCCATACATTTTTTACTGAAAATGAAATAGTGTTTCAAGTGTCTCAAATTTTCTCATACAAAAACAATTAGTGTTTTATGTTGTTGAAACAGAGAATGAATAAAGTGTAGGACAGGAAAAATTTATCCAAAAGTATTAAAAATGGAGCAGCATTTTTAAAATTCACTTTTCCTAATCAATTGCATTATTTATGAACATCAGGAAGGCATGATACTTTATATATGTTATATATTATTATTGATGATGCCACTTGTTTCAGTAATATGCAATAGCAATAATGGAGAAAATGAAAAACTGTTCAAATACCTACATGGAAATAAGCTGACAAAACCACAAAACACTGCACAACAGTTAAAAAATGGCATTCATTTAGTAACATTCTCCCAAGGATTGAAAATGAAATCAAGATCCAAATATCCCTGAGAAAAAGCATATTTATTGACTCTATGGGTATCCTGAGCCACAAAGACTGTTTTCTCCAGGGTGTTGTCATTTGGATGGCTCAATGTGTGACACCTCTGAACACATTCCTCAGTGCTGATACTCACAACTCTGTTAAAATAAAATCATCTGTGCACTTTGAAGAGTTTCCCGTGCTGGGAAAAAAACAGCCTGCATCTATCAGAAGCTGAAGGACTCCATTAAGTGATTTTTTTGAAAACACAGATCTAAGCTCCTTAACTGAGACAAGATGATGATCCCAGCAGACCTGTCAGGCCCGCATTTTTTAAAGTGATATTACCTCCCATTGCCCAGAATATTACGAGAGTTGAAAGACATGACAAGAGAGCTAAAGAAAAAAAGCACCACTTAAGGATGTTTAGCAGAACAGACTCACAGCTACTAGCCATGGCAGCTGTGATCCCCAAAAACTGATCCCCATCCGAGGCTGTCCCAGTGCTACCCACATATGAAGTGAATAAATCACCCTCCTGCAGCACTGTTCCTGTACTCTGCTGCAGCCTGGGGAGTGCAGATAAACAGGAGGGAGCTTTAGACTTCCAGTCCAAGTGTTCCTGCCCAGGGCTGATGGTTCACACTGCCACAACCAGCTGGGAATGAGCCCACACTTGATGCCCTGGGGGTGGATTCACCACATCTGTGCAGCTTTTGGCTGGTGAAGCAGCAACCAGGGAGGAAAAAGAGGCACAGCAACTCCCAGTCCCTCCCAGGCTGTGTGATCTTCCATGAACTGAGGGTTCACCAATGCTTCAGACACAACTCAAGATGATGCTGAGAGATCTTCCCAGGACTGCTGAGTAGCATCAGGCAAATTCTGTACCTTTGCTTCCCCAGCAATGCACTGGCACTAACATCACCTTACAAGCAGCAGCATGAACCTCCTCCCCACAACTTACTGGTTTATTCTGATATTTTGAAATGGCAGGAGACCCAAGAGGCAAATTTAGCTCCACTGAAGCAAGTGGGTATTTAACCTTGATTTCTAGGGAAGGAAGAAGAACACACACACCTGTAAATCTAAAATGCTCCCAGGACAGCTGTGCTGGGATGTTCAGTGAAACCCAGACACCAGCTCCGATGTTCAGTGCCCTGCACAGCCCCCTTGTGGAGCCCATCCTGCCTGTCCCAGCTATGGAACAGCTGTTTCAGGCACATTAGTCAGGCAAACAGATGTGGGAAAATACATCCCATCAGGATTAATTAACTTTGGTTTTATCATGTCCCTTTGCTGATCGAGTTGGCGCCATGTGCTTTCACAACATCCTGCATTTCTTTTGTGTTTTGAAACAGCGCAGTGGATAATGTATCCTGAGCCAGAGCTGTTTTCTCCTCTGAACAGGAGCTCAGAAGAGAACAACACGCCTTGGCAGAGCACCTGGCCACTGTATCCTATTTCAGAATTAGAAACAGTACAGAGAGAAAAGACTGGAGTACTAGAAAAAGACTTTGTGTATAGCTCTGTGCAGGAGTGAAGGGTCCACTGGTTGCACTTGATGATCCTGGAGGTCTTTTCCAGCCTTAACAATAGCATGATTCTACTCTACAAGTTCAAGCATCTTTGGAGAACTATTTGTCATGAATAACAAACACATCATTATTTACTTATGTGCTCTGCAGAAAAGGTATTCCAGACAGCTCTCTTACACAGACCTGTGTTAACTGGGGAAACAATTCAATACAATGGGCAGGCCTTTTGCTGAGTGCTTTTCTCTTACAATAAGTAAGAAGAAAACATACCACTCATGTGGTAACATACCACTCATGTTGTAAGATTTCTGTAGAATCTGCTTCATCCAGCCATAGAGAGCTCTCTGAGTGCTTGCTGAGGTTCTGTCATAGAGGTCCTTGAACAATGATGATCTAAGTGATAAACACGTTTGTTAGCTCACTAATGAGTTATCTATTCATTTTTTTAAATGACATGGACAAATGATTTTAGAAACAGCATTCTTTACACATAAGCAGAAAGCTGTATCTGGAAAACAGACTAAGACCATATAGCAACCTCTTTTTCAATAGTCAGCAAATCCAACATAGTATTGTGTCTGAAAAATAAATGGCTTACAAGTTTCTGAAAGCATCCTCCAGCAGAAGGTTTGGGAGACTCCCAATGACATCAGGTTGGAGATAGTTCACTGCTGACACACGCAGAACCTGACCCAGGATATCCACACAGTCCAGGGCACTTAGAGCCAGGAAGCATTTATCCAGTGTTACAAGGAACAAGGTCCTGTTTACTCCTGGGCTTTGAAAAATTCTCTCTCTAGTCTTGCCCCAGTCAAGAATAATATTTCCCATTTCCTGCAAGCAACAAAGTGTTAAATAAACATCTCTGATTAATTCAATATATTGTTCATTTTGAGGCCTGACAGAGAGCTCTCTACAAAGAATATGATGCTGCTATCATGAAAACCAGCTGCAAATTACTGGTTGTTTGCATTACTTCAGATAATTCCTTTCTGGCATTGGGTAGAGACCAGCTTGAATTTTTTTTACAAAACCAAAATGAAACCCAGAAAGATATTTCAAATGGCTGATTAACAAAATTACTAATTTCACCTTCTTTATCCATCTTGGCTCTCTTTCCAGCCACCAAAAAGAAGACACTCCCTGAGAGTAACTGGCCCTACCTACCTTAGGCGTTACTGTACGAGGGTGAACTCTTCTCTGGAGATGAGTTTCTCTCTATTGATTACAGTGAAAATCCAAATGACTGACTTGGACTTGCAGCAACTTTCAGACAGTAAGAGTTAAATAAATTAAGTCTAACCTAAGAGAAGATTAATCCAATTCAAGCAAGTCAAGTAACTGCAAGGCCTGCACTGTGAGCCCCCCAGTCTGTTCCTTTCCATTTATCTAAACCACTGACAGCAGCTTTTCCTTTTCACATGTGGAAATTCGCTTACAAGATGCTCCTTTTTGCTGTTGAAGAGGTACTTCATTGCAGTTTGGAACTGCTGCTGATCAAGCTGTTGCAATTCAGACAGTAGTTGCCTGGGCTGGTATAAAAGGTTCTTCAGGTAACTTTTTATGGACATCTGGAGTGTAGAAAAATATGTTTAATATACATGAAACTCATACTATTGTACTTTTCCTCCCTGAAAATCTGTGCTCAAGGAGAACTAAGTGCTTAGATCTGTATTGTCTGTGCTGCCAATGATCAAAATAACTGTTCTCCACACAAACTGAAAACAAAAATAATCTAAATGCATTCTGAAATACAGTAATTTTCAAATCCTATTCTTGGTTTCATGAACAAGTCCTCTCGAGGGAGCTTTTTAACAAAGATGCCTCAGTTTCTCACTTCCTAAAACAAGAGTAATAAAGCTTTTCTGCTTCACACAGCAGAGCTGTGAAAATGAAACTTCTAAAGAGCTCAAAAAATAGCTTAAAAATTATCAGATATCATGTGCTTATTACTTAAAAAAGGGAAGGAAATGTGCAATTAGATGGGAGGAAAAGTCTCTACCAGGTCATAAGCCAAAAATATTCTCTCTCGCATCAAGCTGCATTACCAGTTAACAATCTCATGCCTGTTTTGAAAAATTGAAGGGGAACCTTAACACTGGAACAGAAATAAATTTAAGGCTCATTAGCAGCAGACTGGAGTAAAATCCCTTCTATTTCCTGACAGAATTATTTCAGAATTGGGTTGGAATTTGAGTTGCAATTGTTCTTTGCTGCCTTTGCTTAACTTGCATTGCCACCACCAAATATTAACACTGTTCCTTTATGCCTCGGGGTTCAGCCTGCTGAGAACATCAGGCTGCCAATAAACCTGACAAAGGGAAGAGGCAGTGGCAGGAAAATGTAGGTGAGGATGAGCTGTGACAGTGACACGGAGCTTGGGACAGGTTTCAAGCACTGCGGCGCTTCTGGGAATGCCTGAGGCTCAGGGAGGGCACAGTGACACTTCCCTGTTTCAGCGTGGTTAGGGACGAGGGAAGGGCTCAGGTTTGATTAGCTGGGTACAGCTCCACTCAAAGCAGCTCATCACTAACCCTCAGCAGCAGGAGGAGGAACAACAACTCCTTCCTGCATCACTTCCACACCGATAATTTACAAAAACAGCACTGAGAGGAGCTTTAAAAGGTGGAGGCATTTTGTAGGATGCTCTGGAGCCTCTTATTCCATAAGGAGCAGTGTGAACTACAGCCATCCAAATTCTGGGAGAAACCCATCATTTTCTGGGAAAACAGCATTTATATACACTCAACTCAGAAACAATTAGCACAAAAAATCTTAATCTTCCTGCTTTCCATCAGAGAAAAAGCAAAAAGAATTGTTATTATTTCTGCCTTGCATATTCCTCCAATCTCTGGGGAAAAAGACAACCTATTCCTATTTCTTATTTAGCTGCTACACTGTAGGTGTATTAATTACCTCTATCATTGACCACCTAGCTTTGGCTACAGAGATAAGTTAAGGTTTTTTAATTCCTTTTCAAATAAAAATTGTCATGCATCTTAAATGTCACAAACCTGTAGGCTGCTAAGAGTAAACATAACTTCCTGGGCATGAAAATATGCCATGACTTTTGTAAGCAGATCTGCTGTCCAGACATTAGAGCTGTAACAGAAAACAGGATCAAAAATGCCAGTAAAATGATATAACAAGTTAAATAGCAGATTACAAGAGTAAAAAAGAAAAAGGGAAGCAAAGAGTGATGATAACACCATAATGACAAAAGTATTCCGTTTTTTGCCTAGCCAGAGTAATAGTTGATCTGTTTAATGCAATGAAAATACATGGTTCAATGGGGAATGGAATTAATTGGTTTTTTTCCATCGAATTCCACAACCACCCACAACAAACTCAATTTTCCAAGGTGCTGCCATTAGTACTCTCTCCAAGGCATGAGATATCTGGCACCCCATTATGCCTGTTCTGATCTGCTTGCAGAAAGCACAGGGAGTAACTGCTGTCTTTCCTTCAGCAGAGTCATTAATTTCACTGTGTCTTCCTTACACAGACACTGATTTTCTCAAGATATGTAGGAGTGGAATGGCCTTTGAGGCTTATCCTGCTCTTTCAGATTTGGACAAAATTAGCAAATAATTAAAAAGCCACCAGGAGCTGGAGGATGGGGGATGGAGTGAGAATGAAAGAAGGAGGTGGACAGACAGCTGGAACTGCACCAAATTTTCTTAAGAAGCCATTTGGACAAACGTGAACAAAGTTAATTATCAAAACTTCTGAAAACTGTAGCAACTATATATTTTCAGCCTCATTCTATATATATATTTTTTTACTACAAATAGGTTTTTCCCTGTTAACAAGAAATACTCCTCCCAGGAGACCTAAATCCAAGCCAATATGAGCCAATTTCATTCTATCCATAATGTTCCAGTTTCTGTGGATATGAAACAGATCATTATCTGAAGTGCAAGATAATATTGAAAAATCAAGATGGGGAGAGTAATACATTACCTTTGAAAATAAAGTATATCTAGGAGGGCTGCACATGAAAAATGGAACACAAAAAGTTATGGTGAGATACTGAGCTTTAATCCATTTTAGAAGCATAAGTGGGAACAACTGTGTACATTACCATTCAGATATTTCCCAGCTATTACTTCCTCCTAAGGAAAAATTGCAAATATATGTAATAAATTACTATTTTTAGATTATAATATAAAATGTTATAATGTTAAAATGTAGAGAGATCAAATAAAAATACTAACCACAGCTTTGTGTAACAATGGAGGCAAATCTGTAAAAGATTATCCCATTATTAGAAGTTAATTTAATGTTTTATCAGTCAATTGTGTTACACAAAAATACATTTATTGTATACAGTGATTATATATACATATATAATTTATTTGCAAACATTTAATGCAGTTTTGATTAAATTTATTTACAGAAAAACAATGGGAGGGAAAAGGCTATTTAATAATAATCAGTCTTGGTGAAATTCTTTGCTGGCATAGCTCCACGAAGCCAAGAGAGCAGAAACCATGGTCTCAGTTACTAAACAACACCTAATTTATTACAAACAGCTTTTTCTGTGCCACAAATACACCCCTCAGACAGGAGTTCTGGTCTTACCTTCAGAGTTCTGACTGCGAGTAATCTTGGCATGATTCATTGATATCAACAAGAAACACATCTTCAAAAGTCTGGACATTTCTTCTGGTGTTTTTAGAATAAAAATATACTTGAAGAGGAAAATAGGAGGAACACAGTCAAAATGCAATATTCACCCCAAATTTCATAGCTATAAATCAGAGACAGCCTACGCTACGGAGTACAGATAGAGATCAGAACAATCCAGGGCTGCTTGCTCCCAAGTTTTTAATTTAGATCTTTTTCTAGGACAGAGATACACTTTATGCAAACACAAGTCCATGAAGAGTGCGTGTGCAGGCAGATTTATCTCCCTACAGCAAATGGCTCATTTCATTTTCTTCCTTGTAGCACCATTTATTTACCAAGTTACACTGCACCTAAGTACGACTTCAACGCAGTTTTGTTAAAACTGGCAACAAATCCTTTTAAAATCAGATAAAACAGAAGAGAAATTGAATGAAAAAGGAAATTATAAAGAAGCTTCAAACAAACCCTAAGCTTTTCCTAGCTGGTTAAGCTGCAGTATCACTGCAGACTGGGAACCTCCATTTGCAGATCTCTGAACTCAGGGGTGGGACAGCCTGGCCCTCGTCCCCTGTCCCTGCAGGGTGCTCCAGGCAGGGAGGTGACAGAGCACTCCCCTTCCCTGCTGCCACATTTGGCAAAAAGGGAGAAAATGCCCTTATGCTCTTCTGAAGCAGAGGGAAAGTCACACATTTGGGAAAACAGACCATGTCACTTCACCTGGATAGATCAGAGCCGTGGTCTTTGTACTCACAAGAAGTGTTCCATCAAAGTTTCACCGCCACCACGGACACAGTTTGTGTTGAAATAGATGTCTTGCTATCCCTGCTGCCCTGTGCTATGCAGCATAAAAATCACTGAAAGATAAATTGTCTGGAAGGGCAGTAATAGGGTACCCAGAGCTTTTCACTGGGTTGTCACCGATTGCCACCAGAAAAAAAATTGAGTTCCCAGTTGTCCAGAACAAAATGAATGTGTTGATTTTGGTCTAGTTCTTGAAGGACAAGGATACACACAGAACTAATGCAATGGGGTGGAAAGGAAGCAAAGACTGGGCAGGTTTCACTCACACAGGAGTTTCTGCAGCCACATCCCCGCTGCAGCTCTGAGGACCATGAGCTGCTTCAATCCACACTGCAGAGAGGATTTTCTGCCTGGCCCTCTGATCAGCCTGAGAGTCACCACCCCCACAGGTAAAACAACAAATTAATCTGAGATATTAGATGATGCCTTGATCCACAGATGGCAACTTCTTACACTGGGATTAGTCCCTGATTTAACAAATGACACACAGGGTCCCATTGGCTGACTTGACTCTGACCATGAAGAGACTTTGTTAGATTTTGTCTCCCTTTCCCTCATGTCAAAGGTTTATTTGTGAGACACTGAATTTCTGCATTTCTTTTTGTTGCTGAATTCTGTGCTCTCTCTTCCCCCCCCCTCCCCAAAGTTCTCTGCCACAGCTTGAGTTACAGATCTGAATATTTGATAAATGACACCTTTTTTAGGATTGTTTAATCTCATGTACCAAGGTACTCTTTTATAAAAACATCTTTCAACAAGCCTCCAGCAATACCTCAGTCTATTGCAAATACTTAACTCCAGTCTTGTAACAGAAGTGTCTCAAACTGACAGATGATGAAAAATTTAAACTTTAGACTTCAAGAAGCTATCACCTCTGTCCTGTTCTTACACACACTGAAACCCCTTTCAGCTACTCTTTTGGGAGCACCACAGTAAATGTCTCTCATTCAGACGTATCTGGTTTCCTAGACAATGAACTTACTTGTGTTTGTTTCTGCCTGTGCCCTAATAATTTTGCAGTAAGGTTTGATTACTCTGCATAGGTTAAATCATGCTTCCAATGTCACTCCCGATTTGTTTATTCCAATTTATTCACTTTGATCAGGGAGTATATTTTAATTAAAGCATGCTAACTTAATGTATAAGGAGATTAAATGCTAAGGAAAGAGCTTTTTCATCCTGACTAACTCAAGCGGACAGTCAGCAGGGCACAAAAAGGGCTGTGAAAAGCCCTGCACGGCAAGACAATCTCTGGGATGAAGTTGCTCATTTTTTGAGTGAAACAGGTCAGTTTGCAGCTCACAGCAACTTCCAGACAGTCCCAAATCACACTGTGGGGATCTCCTGCAGATCCCAGCCAGCATTTCCCCGGAGACCATTCCTTGAGTATGCTGCGATGAGATCTCCCCGCTTATGAGAAGCTCCCTGATCGCCTTCTCCTCTCACTCCCAGAACAGCCACCCTTCCACGTACAGAAATCCTAGACATTTTATCACTCACTCCATGCAGTCGCTGCCATATCTGAAGCTCGATAACCAGAAAACTGACCTTACAACCACAACTTGTGCTGATAAGCCCTCACACTGCCGGTGCCCACCTTCCCCTGGCACCCGGGCTGTAAGAAAAAGCACCACATGCATGGGGGAAGCCGCAAGGGGTGCGGGCTGGAAAGGGAGAGAGAGAAGCAGAAGAGAAGGAGGGCCAGGACCCCAGAGAGCTTTACCTGCCTCTGCAGTGTGCGCCTCCTCCCCGGCACTGCAGGAGCTGGGCGGCTCCAGCCAGGGACCCTGAGAGCGGGGCCAGGCCCAGCACCGCCCTGCAGCCTCAGGCGCCGGCCCAGCGCCCCGGCCCTCAGGGCGGGCGGGAGCGGCTCCTCCGCCCGGCGCTTGGCACTCCTAGGGCCGGCAGGAGGGGACACTTCTGTCCCGAGGTGAACAGAGCTCAACAAGCTGTGCAGGGGAAACACAGGGCTGGTGCTGCCCTGCTCTCCCATCTCCCCAGCCCAAGCAGGGGCAGGTGGCCCTGAGTCCCTCAGAGTATGAACTGATTGTACCTGGGATCACCCGGCAAAAGGAGGCTGCGGTTTTGAGGGATGAAGCTGTTCCAACTTTGCTTTAAAAGTTTCTGCCTAAATCGAGTGCTTGCACAGCATTGTTTTCCAGCAGTGCAATACACCCAGCCCACCCTGACAGAACAGAACAGAACAGTTCAGCCACTCCACAGGGCAAAACTCTGCACATTAGTGAGAGCACTCAGTGCAGCTTGGATGGACACTGGCACCCACAGCAGGACAAGGCAGGATTCCCAAACCCACGAGTAATGAATTTGGACATTGCAATTGCAACACTTGTTCCCTTAGATGGCATTTTGGGGCAATTTAATGAACTATTGAACTCACGAGTGGCCTGTGAGCAGCACTGACTGCACACAAATGCTCTCAGTGCCTGCAGGGAGGAAGAAGTCCCTTCACTCCCAAGGAACCCTGGCTTTAGAAATACAGGTGTAGGTACAGTCTGACTTTAGACATACAGGTGTAGGTACAGTCTGACTTTAGAAATACAGGTGTAGGTACAGTCTGGCTTTAGAAATACAGGTGTAGGTACAGTCTGGCTTTAGACATACAGGTGTAGGTACAGTCTGGCTTTAGACATACAGGTGTAGGTACAGTCTGGCTTTAGACATACAGGTGTAGGTACAGTCTGGCTTTAGAAATACAGGTGTAGGTACAGTCTGGCTTTAGACATACAGGTGTAGGTACAGTCTGGCTTTAGACATACAGGTGTAGGTACAGTCTGGCTTTAGACATACAGGTGTAGGTACAGTCCTGGGGGTTATTCTGTTTATTCAACAGGACTAAGCAGGTGTTTGACCCTGCTGAATTTAGGCTTTGTAGAAAGATTTTCTTCATTATTGGTCATGTTTTAATTCTTCATCTCAAGTGTAAGAATACTTGGTTAAATAGAATGAACAAAGCAGAAAATCATAAGAAAGGAAAAAAAAACCCTATTGTTTACATTGCACCTTCTGTTCCCAAATGTCTCAAAGCCATTACAAACTGAAATCCTCAGTGACAGGACTAAAAGATGAGAGGCATGAAATGCAGTCTCTTGTGTGATTTTTAACATATGGGATTAAAACACTTAAGTACCTTTGAAGAAGTTTGTCTTACTACATATTTGCTACCTTAGCTTGAATTAATGACACATTAAAAAACATTTTCCCACTACTGGAGGAGTACAAAATGAAGGTAGCAGAAGATAAATTAATGGATTCACTCCAGAGCATACATAGCTCATTTTCCCAACAGACAAATCTGATTGCACTACGTGCCAAAATGCAACAGCACATCCTGAAATGAGAATAACACTGAGTCTAAATTACTGTTGAGAAGTAATTTGAAATTTCAGCATCTTTGCCCTTGCCCCATACTACAGAATACTATTCCACAAAGATGACTTGCAACAAAAAGCTAAGAAATTGGCAGGAGAAATCATTAACCATCAGTTTGAGGTAAACTTAAAATGACATTGTTAAGCATCCTACCTGGCATAAAATCACCATTAATTATAAAAACCACAAAAAAAACCCACAACAGACAACTTTTTTAGACTTCAAAAGCAACAGAAATCAGTTCTTACTTTACTTACCTGAGGTTTCTCTGCTCTGTCACACTTGCAACCCAAGCACTGCAAGACATACACCTGCCAGGTCTGTACCACTTATGATGTCTCTTGTTTTAAAGAGAAGCTATATCCCAACTGGCAGAAATTATCCACTTAAACAGAAACAAGACTTGCTAAAATAAACAGCATTTATTTAGTGCTCTTGAAGAAAGGAAAATATCTCTAAGCTAGCTGAAATGAAAATATCTCAAGCTCCTACAGCCTGATCCTCACAGGCAGTTTGACTCAGAAAATTTGCAAGAAACTGCCTGCAACTTTTTAAAGCTGAAAACATTTGGCAACGACTTGCTTAGAGGGTTTGTTTTTAAAGCCATCAGTTTAAAGTGCAGTTTTGACAAGTTCTACTGTAACCCCTTTAGCTGGAAAATGGCAAATGCAAAAGCAATGAGGATTTATGAGGCTTTGACAGGGAAGAACATGAAGGAAACCCAACCAAGTGATACATTTTTTGTGCACTGTTATCCCATTAAAGAATAATTAAATGCTGTTTAAATAAATACAAGGTTGTGTTGCTACTGAAAGCTTGATTCTCAACACAAAGAGCAGT